CGAGGTTGGAGTTCCAAGGTAGTGATGGCTACCTCAAGAAGCAATGGCGCATGATTGCCAAGGGCGAATTGGGCTACATCCCGGCAAAACACATCGTGAGCGCGCTCCCGGAAGAAGGGGAACGCCCTCATCCACCCACAAGAAGATCACGGTGGACGGCTGGGGCAGGGAGGATGAAGAAGAGGTGAGGAGCCACCCCACATCTCGGCGCCAGCTGGAACGATTGCACCTAACCTTCAGGACGACGCTCCTGATGTGCACGGCAGCACTGCCGCAGTTTGGCAACCTGAAATTCACCAAGGAGGAGTTGGATGACTGGTATGCCTGGTTCTATGGGGAAGACATAGCCGGCAGGAAACCTCCCCCGAGCGACACCACCTTGCTGTTCGCAGAGCGCAATGCATGGCGCAAGATTCACGAGATGGTGCACCAGGGCACCACTCTCTCCGAAGCCCTCAAGAACATCAGGGGCGACTTCCTCTTCTGGCAACGGGAGGTCTATGAGCACCTCAACAGGGCGCCGGAGAAGGGGAAGAGCAAGAGCAAGGCACCCAAGGTGTGGCAGACTCAGTGGGAGAAGCCCAAGAAGGGGGGAAAAGGATCTTGGCCCTCGGGACCGACAAGGGCGGCAAAGGTAAGTCCCCCAACACCTCCTCGACCCCATGGCCAGACCACTGGGCTTTCAAGAATCCCAAAGGGGTGGCGTACTGCAGAGATCATCACCTTCACAACAAGTGTTCGGGATCATGCGGCCGATCCCACAACTGCCCGGTCAGGAAGGATGGGTGGGTGTGTGATGCCCCCCCATCGAAGCATGTGCCACAGGCATGCCCACACCTTCCCAAGTGACAGGAGGCCACTCAGGGTGCCATAGGCCCCGTGGCTGCCTGGTCTCCGAAGGGATCACAGGCCACCAGTGCGAGAGTGCACACAGCGGGGGAGAGCCAACCCCACCAGAGCCACAGCGGAAGGCAGACAGAGCGGGGGAGGCCAGGACGGCCGCAGATAGGGGGATTTCTCCAGGGTGCCACCGGCCCCGGAAGCCCCTCCACCGAAGAAGAGGAGCGGACCCAGCCAGGGCACTCCAGAAGGGCGGAAGCACCCCTTTCCCCCGCACCCACCGAGGCAGTGGGAAGAACCCCCAGAGAGACCCAGAGGTGAGGATCCGCCCGGCAAGGGGCGTTCCAAGGGCGGGCAGAACCGTCAGGGCAAGCAGCAAGCCCAGGGCCAGATGACCGGAGGGTCAGACAAAGGACACACGGAAACCCCAAAAAGGGCAAGCCCCACCTTCCCCTGGATGCAAGACACCCCGGAAAGACTGAGGCTCAGACTAAGGTGGACGCCACGTCCGGTGCCGGAGTCGTCAAAGCCGTCCCTCATCCTGCTGTACGCTGGGAAGGATGATGCGGGGGCACTGGATGCTCACCTCCATGCCTACAACCGGCCTTCTCGGAGTACATTTGGGCAGTGGACATCAGGCGAAAGGGTGGAGATCTTGGACAGGACATGCTGGGAGACGAGCCTTACTCTACGATGTGCTCCATGGCCATGGCCCCAACTGCAGGACGTGGAGCATTCTCAGATCCAAACCAGGAGGCCCGCCGCCGGTGAGGGGCAGGGCGGAGCAGACCCTGTGGGGCTTAGAGGACCTGGAGGCCCGGCTAATGGAGGACACGGACAACGACAGCGTGCTCATGCTCCGACAGATGTACCTGACCTCGCTGGCCTACCAGGGACTAGGTCAACTAACGGTCCCGCAGGTGGGCTCCTCCTTCCTGGAGCACCCAATGGACCCAATGGAGTGCAGCAAGAGCCCGAGCGCAGCGAGGTGCTCATCGATCTGGGTCACACGGGCCTACATTCAATGGGCGAACGCACTCCACCACTCCCTCATCAAGTTTGACGAGTGCCGCCTGGGCCAGGTGGTAGTGAAGTCCACGACATTGTCAACGGACCTTCCCCTTCACCATTGGCATGATCTGCGATGCAACCACGGAGCTCACCCCAGGGGGGAAAAGCTCAACTCCAGTGACCTCAGCCGGTATCCAGAGCAGATGATGCAGGGTCTCGCAGCGGCCATCCTTTGCAGAGCGGGACCCGTCCTGGAGGCGCTGAGGCCGGGGGGCACGGTGCCCCAAGCGAACCCAACGACCCCCCCGAGGCGACAGAGGGAACCATCTCCCAGCACGCCGGGGGACAACAAGCGCCAGTCCCTGAGGCTGAAGGCCGGCCAGCAAGCGTTGGCGGGACTAACCTTGGGCTCACTTCCGGTCTCGGCCTCAGACAATCCGGAGGTCCGGACACCAACACAGCCGGCTGGCGGGGCGGTCGAACTTCGGGGTGGAACTCTTTCCCCTGAGCCATGGGCACGCCATTGCATGGAGATCTCGGATCGGCCCACCACCCTGCCGATCACGCACGACCCAAATCTCTCCGACAAGGTTATGTACCTCCAGATGGCCTTCAAACAGCGCCCCCTTAGGGACGGGGGTGGGAAGCCCTCACTTGGACGGCTGGCCCCGTGGACTCGGCCACTGTCCAAAGCAGCAGCGATGGGGGCCAGATCTGTGTCCTCACGTCGCCATGGGGGGACAAGCTCCAGGAGTCGCTCTCGTTGGGGGACGGGTCACATCCCTTCCCGGAGGATCTGCTGGAGGATATCAGGGAGATCCTGGCGCCGGGGGCAGGCCGACCAGCTGAAGGCCAACCCTTCTTCCTGGACATCTTGCACAGCGTGGCGCTGAACATTCAGGACCCCGACCACCAGTTTGGGGATCAAGGGGTCCCACTGGGGGTCACGGACCCACCCCTAGCCTCGTCGGGCATCTGGCCACTCAAGAAGGAGCTAAAAGGGGAGGAGCCGGAGTTCCCCTCATCCCACGGGCCACGGTAACTACCCCTCAGCGGATCACTTCAGTGAGCTCATCCGTGGCACATTCCTGGAGGAGGTCCCCATGGGCATGGTAGAGGGCCCCCTCACCAAGGTGGAGGCAGCAGCGCGCTGTGGCTGCAAGATTGAGGACCTTTGTCCAGGCCCCCTAGCGGGCATCGACGAAGGGGACAAGATCCGCACCATCTACGATGGCTCGGTGGGCGGGGCCAATGACACCATCAGGAACCAGACGGTGGAAAGGACGACGGCTCCGACGGTGCTGGATGGGGTACAAGCTCTTCATTGGCTACATGCGGCAGCTGCGGAGGGACCTCCCTCTCAGGTGCCCCTGGCCCCGAGAAGGAGGTCGTCAAACCTCCACCCGAGGGCTGGCTATGGCCGGAGCCGGGCACCAGGTGGGTGCTGCTCAAGGCGGACGTCACCAAGGCCCACCGGAGAGTGAAGGTCCTCAGGAAGGACTGGCGGTTCCAGGTGGCTTCACTGGGGGAAGAATGGTGGGTGAACAAGGTAGGCACATACGGCATGGCCAGTGCCCAATCCTACTGGGGACGCCTGGCAGCCCTTCTACTCAGGGTCCTCTACGCACTTTTCCCTCAAGTGGATTGGAACTTCGTCTTTGTGGATGACTTCCTGTGGCTGCTTCGCAGCGAGGGGGCAGTAAACTTGGCGGTGGCGCTGTTGGCAACACTCCTGGCCTTGGGCACCCCGCTTAGCTGGAAGAAGACACATTTGGCGGAGGTCAACACGTGGCTGGGCTTCGTGGTCCACCCGAACATCCCGCAGGTTCTCATGGCCGCCAACAAACACATCCTGGTGATGGAGGTCTTGCAGACCATGGTGGAAGGGCAGGCGATTCACTCAAAGGACATTGAGAAGGCCCTGGGCCGCATCCAATGGGCAACTGCTGCATGTCCGTTGGCGAAGTCGATGCTCCAGCCACTTTGGGCCTGGAAGATGGCCACCACCACGGTGGCGATGCTCAACCTTGGATCCAAGAAGCCCTACACCGCGGCGATCCTGATGGAGCTGGTCTTCCTGCTCCACACCCATGGCTGCTCGCTGGCGGCCAACCACGTGCCCCGGGAATTCAACCAGTGGGCTGATGTTCGACCCTTTGCACAGGGTCCCCAAACAGGAACTCTGCGAGGAGTTCGTTTTTCTCCCGCGTCTCCTGAATGGAGATGCATTTGATCTTAGCGTGGGCCCACCCATGCTCCCGTGACCGGAGCCGGTGGGTGACTCACTTCCCCTGGTGGCAGAACCCCCCTGTGGCCTGGGTGCCCCGGGCCCCGGCTCAGGGGCGGGCGCTATCAGTCTGCACACCCGTTCTTCAGTTTTTGAGAGTTTGTGGTGGGTGGCCCATGGGGCCCACCCAGCCGTTGACATCTGACAGGGGAAGATGAGTCCCTGGCACCAACACATTGCTTGGATAAAAGAGTTATCGCATGCTTGTGTGGTGCCGTTTGGTTAGCTTACATACACTGGGGGTAGTTTTCCATTTATCTAGAAGACTCACGAAAGCCGACCTGTTGACCTTTTGGTTTCCCATGTTTGGCCCATTTTTCGTAGAGGTTAACCTTTCGTTTCTGGGTCCTGGCTGAGAAGACCGAGGGCGGGCTTCAAGTCCCCATTCCAAACCAACAAGAGGGAAGCTGGCGAGAGGGGTCCACATCCTCTCCTGTGTATGCAAATATTTCCCATGCCTTTGGGTAACATTGACCAATATCTGTCACATGAGGGGGACCACAACCCAACTATGTCTTCCTTTGGCCTAGGTGAAAAGGGTACCCTCAAAAAGTCACCCCCAAATCTTAAAGTCTTTGACATTGGCATGTCATTACAGGTCTAAGTCAGCCGCTTGTTCTCACTCACTGAGCGCATGGACTTTTGCCACTTTTTCGGTTTTGACCACGTGGCTTGGACTAGTTTTTTGTTGGTTGCATTTTGTCCCCGGGTACCACCGGAATTGCTCACGCCGTCCCGAGACCACAAGAGGTCCGGTTGTCGGTTACCTTTTTGGGGCCAGTGCGCTAGCTAAATCGGTGTGTGAGGTACGGCTAGCTGGATCGGAGCTCTATGTGTTTTTTTGTTGTTCTTGTTTCGCCAGGACGACACCTCTTGCTTCCCTCTCTTGGACTGCCCCCCGGAGGCGCCGGAAAGAGCCGAGCAGAGGAAAGGATCGGATTTGTTCAGGTTTCTTTGATTGAAGATACATTGATTGAGTGTCCATTCAACGGTTTCATGGATACAAAGAGACGGAGTCCAAGATTAGTTCTGGTAGTAGTAAAGCTGCTGACTAATAATTAGTCAGCAGCGTCATCCTGATTTTCCAGACCACCTGGGATGGGTAAAGCGCCAAATCTGCCAAGGCCTCCCTAGTCCGCCTTATATAGACCAATCTAGTTCAGGTCGCCCTTAGTTGGTGATTGGATTGGTAGTTTGAGGATTTGCACCCCTGGTGTTTGTAGAGGGAAACCACCCGTCCAGACCACCAATTGGAGGGAAGCTGACTAGTGGGGGTTAATCGTACATTGCCCTATCAAGTTGCCCTTTTTTGGTGGTTTGGATTGGTGGTTCGGAGGGGGGCTATCGGCTAGCTTCTTATGTACCCTCAAGAACCAGGGGTCAACTCCCCAAACCGAAAATCCAACTAATTGACGGGTGCCCGACACCACTGCGTCCAACGGTTCTGGCATTCTGAGTCTACTGCAGCACTTTCTTCAAACACCAAGCACCACACAAATAATATTGCTGGTTTCCAGCCATCCGGTTCCCTTGTGGGTGTTTTGGGTTTTCTGGTTTAACGCTAGATTCCACCTAAACCACCAGTGAACAGCCCGAAATAGAAAGGGGGGCCTTTTGACTTTTGACTTCCGGGAGTCGCACCTCTTTCGATTTCTGGAGGGGATTCTGTCCTTCAATCTAGTCCTTTTGACCGGTTCTTTTCAGGGTAGGGATGGTCATCTATCGACCCCTAGAAATGTTGGATGTGGTGAGGATTATGTTGGGAAAGGAACCACTTGAAGCACATAAGGAGTGACCACTGCTCAAATGGGGTGTGAAGTGAACAAAATATTACTTTCCACCTCCCCCCCTCCACATACCCCACTTAATCAGAAAGGCCCGCCCCATTTGCGCGCTGTTTTTGTTCTTGCGAAAATCGAGCGCGCACGACCCTCCAAAGGGTACAGTCAACATAAGTTCTGGTGGATCTTACGCTGGCTTCTCCAAAGCAAGTTCAGGCTTTTGCAGTTTCATGTGGGTGGCTCGTCTTTTTTGGGTCTTGATTGTGGTTGTCCTTTTGGCTTTCCTCCAAAACCGCCGACAAAGACGGGTGCCAACTACAACAACTAGATGAGCCCATGTGTTGTCTTCGGTGGATTGAAACACCGCCTTTGAGGCGGTTGATTTTTCGAGTGAGCCAATTGTTGCTTGCCTTTGAGCTGAGTTCTCGTTGTAAGCACTGAACCTACTGTGAATGCATACAATCCATAAACCACCAGTTCCTAGGTGGTGTATCCCCTTATTCATACGGTGTCATCTATCCCAAGTGCAAGAAGACATCCACCCACACAAAAATAAATAAATAACGGTTTGGATGTAACTTTTGTGGACCCACGCATGTAGAACATTAAAGGAGTACTACAAGATCACCAAAAAAGGACCAGGGGAAGAGCAGAGGAAATCCACAACAAGCGCATCCAAAGCGTTTCTAGACGTGCGGCATGCAAGGTTTGGATCCTAGGTGAGGAGTTGCGCTAAGTCGAGCAGTGGCATGCCAGGTTTTGTCCTCCGTTCTGCTGCTGTCAGACGCTGAACTGCAGATCGGTGAGACTAGCATCGCCAGGGATAATTCTATTCAATTTGACTGATCATCGGTTAGATCTTTAACCGCCACTGTTTTTTTGGGGACCCCCCCCAAACAACACAAAAACAGGAACAAGTGGTGCTTGTCCTTCCGATTTCCCTTCAAAAACACAAGAAAGCAAGTACCCTCAAACAAGACCCGCCCATGTTGGGGGAGGCAAAAAAAAAGTGCTTTCCCACTCACCAGCGCCAAGTCCCGTCAGGTAAACAAAATAAAATAAACATATCAATATGTGGATGGCCTGGTGTTCTGCTTCTCTGGGCGCCAAAGCCGAGCTTCTGCGCAGTTGGTGTCCGAATTTTGACTCATTGGTGGAGGGAAACCAGAAAAAAAGAACATAGGTTTCTTCTGGGTATATTTTCCCTTTTCAGATCCCCTGTGGGGTGATTCCAGTAGCCAGGTGCAGCATTGCATGGTTCATATTTCAAAGTAGCTGCCAACCTCCCTGCCACCGATGCGGAAGGGAAGCTAACACATGGAGCCTGAGGGGGGGGCCCCTTGAGGAAGGTACTTTTTGATCTCCAAGTCTTTTGGGCAAGTCAGCTCCCCGCCTTCTATCGCAGCACTATGCGAAAGCTGCCAGTTGAGCGACATGATTGAAAACCGGAACGAGGCACTGGTCAAGAAAGCAACAAAGGTCTGTCTTTGGGCTCCATTTGTGTTTGACATTGAAAACGTTCTTTGCTGTATTGAGACCCCGTGCAGAAGTGCTTTAACGTCTAAAGAAAGCGTACCCCATAGGGTCTTTTTAGGGGACCCTCCCACCAAGAAAAGCAATGGCGGTGGTCCTCGTGGTCCCTGTTAAATCTCACGCTGGTCTCTTTCAAGGCCCGATGTTTTGGATCCGGCCATGTTCCAAGAAGGTGAGGTCGTTTTTTTCTTGGAGGTAGTTGTCCAACTGTTCCAGCCATCTTGCTCCGTTTGGTAGTTGTTCTAAAGGATTGGTTCAGGTACCTCCGCGAAAGATGCGCAACCGAGTTGCGAATAGAAATAATGTGCCTTTCATGTCAACCTGACGGTGCACCTCGTTTTTGGCTCAAGGAAGAGACATGTGTTTGATGTTCACCATGTAAGTCAAAGCCAAATTTAGGTTGAACCCTCGTTTTCGGCGCATGTCAAAAGGAAACGAGTATGATAGCATTGCCAGTCCCAAAATCAAACAACAATATGGGCGTGTGCTCCAAATGGCGGTGTTCCTTTGGTGGTTACCCTCCCACCTTCTTCACACGGAACCTGAGGTTAGGGGGTCCCTTTACGAGGAAAACTCTCTAAACCAGGACCCTCGAACGTCAGGTTCCATGTGAAACAGGTGGGAGAGCAAATTCCCAAATCAATTAAACAACATATGGGTGTGTCCTCCAAAATGGTGTTCCTTCGGCTTCCCTCTAAGCCGTTGGAACTTCAAAGGAGCCGGGGACTCCGCGCCCAGGAAGCGAGCACTTCAGTGCGCCTCAGACCCTTGTGCCGACAGATGCGGATTGCGGTGGACGGAAACGAAGGCGATCCGGGGATTCGGAAGTCATTTTTGTGGTCGATGGACGTTGAAGGGCTTGTTGTTTTTTTTTGGGGGGGGGGGTTGAGGGTTGTTTAAAGAGAAAGATAGGCATTAGGTTGTGAGGTTCTTCTTTTTTTGTGAGGGGGGGTTGAGGGTACGATCCCTGAGACTAACAGCCGGACGCTCCCCCAATTTGCCTTTGTAAATGGAACCAAGTCTTCCATTTCGGGGTCCTGGGAGCTTCCATGTTAGCCTGGGGGAGGGTACCCTAAAGAAAAGCACAGGCATTTTTTGGGTACCATATTTAAGACAACCCCATTTGAAGTTCATACTTGATTTGACCAACATGGATGTAAGACGGATTCGGCACTGCGCCACTGACGGTTGCATTTGTGGAAGACCCCCGGCTCAAATTGTTCTTCAGTAGCGGTTTCTGGCAGAGGCATGTACGGAAAGGAATCTGGCGCTCATGTTTCACTGCCAGTTTTCATCAGGTTGTGCCAGGTTGTGCCAGGTTTGAGCAAATCAACCCCATCCAAACACATCCTTTTGTTTTCCCTTTTAAGTTTAAAGGGAAGCGGAGGTCGGTGTTTGAAATCGCATCTGGTTCCGAGCATGGATTTGGCCCGTCTACACAGAACCGTGGGCCGGGTCCTGTGCCCTTTGCCCCCAGTGGCTTCTCTGGTAATTAGGTTCCTTGTCCGTGATGCTCACCTGCTCACCTCTAAACGCACCCTATGTCGTTGGGAAACATTTTACATTTTTGCTCATTGTGGTTGAGTGGGAAATCCCAACTTAACTGCTAACATTTATTTGTGTTGCTCCCCTTCCAACGTCAACCAAGTTTTAAACGCACCCTATGCCTTCAAGTGTATTATCCACATTGTTCGGAAAAGCCAGAAGGGGTGTGGATAGTTCAATACCCTGAGATCACTTTCTGTAACCACAAGTTGCCCAGCTAGCAATGGTGCTCTTAAGCAGTCGAAACGTGGCAAGAGTTTGTGAACCCCTGGTATGAGCTCCTTGATTGGTTCAGTATACTCATGTGTATATGGCAGGCGTCAAAATCATAATTCGGTGGGGATTTACGTCCACTTTTAAGTTGAGTTTTAATGCATAGCCCCTTAGCTGGGTTGGACGCCAATACAAACCACGTAATCCATTCGCGTAAGGAATTTCAGGAGTGACTTTGAATCACCCAGCTTAGCTGAGCACACCTGGTCTCCCGCCGAAGCGTGCGCGATGTATCCCCAGAGTCGTCATTTCGGTTCCCGCATTAAATGTCACGACCAATTGGGCCCGCCAAGCAGTTCGAAGAAAAAGCACACGTGCGACACCGCGCTCACTGCTCCATAGGTCCATGGGTGAGAGTGTGGTTTGAAAGGGGTACCTTTCACTTGGCTTAATAGAATACCAACCCTTTCACTTGGCTTAATAGAATACCAACAGGAAAGCCGACGCCATTTTGGGTGTTCCCCATTAAGGGACGAAAATTGGTCAAACTACATGGCAGTTCGACCCAGAAATGAGTGTGTGTGTGTATGATGTGTCCAAACTTGGATTTCTGCCGATGGTTCCCTGCATGTGTTTCTTCCAAAAAGATCCGACACCCTCTGCGGCCCCCTTTTGCCAGCTGGGGAGGTGGTCAAAGCCCCGTAAGGTGGCCCCAGCCCCAGAAGTGAATGGACCAAATCCGATTCGCGTGAAACTCCAACAGGATGTTGTCCAATCCCAACCAATCCCAAGGGTTGAGCCTAGTGCATAAGCCACCAGTCCCAACCTTTTTGCAGGATGTTACGTCCATCCGCAGTCTTATTCAAGTTGAGGCTACGGGCAGTCGGCTGATATTTTTTGCCCCAAGGGCCCCATGGGCCGCTCGTCACGGGAGTTAGTCCGCGAGTCCTTTCGAGTTGCCTTTGGTTCGAGCGAGGCATGTGGAGTCTGCTGACCTTGCGGGACTTTGCGGACTTGGGGGGCACCACCAAGCACTACCGCGGCCTGCGGACACTCGCAGAGTGGGACGAGTCCAACGCCATGAGGCGGGTTCGATAAACTCAACCAATAAGGATAGGCGTGTGTTGATTAAAAAATGGAAAAGAAAACGCTTCATTTCCTCAAGCTGGGTTTAGCTCAATCCATAAGGATTGGCGAGTCTCAAATTCGCTTCATTTGCATCAAATGTTGCGGGGATCAATGTGGCTTCCTTTTCTATACCACACCTTTTCTGCCGAAAGCCGGGTCGAAAGTGGACTTTGGGTTGATCTTCGGGCAGGCAGGGCAGCCAGCGCGCAGTCAGGTCCTGTCCCATTTGTGGTGAGCTCAGTGGTTTTAAGAAGAGCTGACTCTCAGCAAGGGGAATCAACAGTTCAGCCACAGGCTCAAAACCGATTCGGATAGATGCAGGTCAGTAAGGGATAGTATCCCAACCATAAACGGTGCTTTTAATTCTTGAAGCATGGGTCTGGCTAGGCCATTTTCAGACCAGGTTTTGATCCTGACTCAGTTGGGAATGAACCAATTGATCCACTCAATGCCCACCAGTCATGGATCAGTTCGGGCTCACTGGGTTCTCATTCAAGAAGGGATGGGCAGCCGATTCCGTTTCTGAAGGGTTGGGAGTATGGGCTTAGATCTTAGGGTCCTATGGCCATGAATTGCTTGTTTGTTTAATGAGAAACCACCTGAAAAGTGGTTAGTGGACATAAATCCCACCTGAATGATGTCCACCAAAGGGCCCCCAATTCAAATTCATAGCTCTATGTATAGTTCTTCGACCTCAAGTTCTGAGGTTCTGGACTTGAGTGGCTGGTTTGGAGCACAAGAGTAAGCAACAAGTTGTTCAACTTGTCCTGTTCTTGGAGCATTTGAGTATATAAGCAACCCGGTTTTCTGTCATGTCAGCTTAAACCAGCAAGAAAATAATGAACCGGGAGAGAGGGTCATTGGTTGGTTTGGTTTCCCCTTCTTGACTCACTTCCCGGGTTCTTAGTCACTTTTGGAAAGAGCATGTTAGTGGAACATCAAGAACGTGTGGCTATTTTTTGGGATCCAATCTACTGGATGGGAGGTGAGTTGATTTGGCTCCTTGCTTTGTGAGATCGATGGAAGGCGTTTGGAGTGGGATCCGCTGATGATCTGCGCGCCGCCGGCGCTGCGGTATTCCCTGCTGGCGGCCATGCAGGTGGGCGACTCAAAGTAGTTTTAGTCTTTGTTTTTTGGAGGGGGGAGGGGGCGGGGGTTGGGGCTGGGGTTGGGGGTGGGGGGGTGGGGGGAGTGTTGAGGGGTTGAAGCGGGCACGGAGCGGGACATTTTCGGCGGAGCCAGAAAGGAGAGAACTGGGAAAGGGACAAGGGGTTAGAAGGGCAAAGGGGGCGAAGTCTCGATCCAGGGAAAAGGAAAGGGGCAAGCGGGGGAGAGGGGGCAAAATGGGATTTCTTGATGGTTGAGGCCAAACAGACACAGATAAATCCTAGCATCCCTGGCTCAGGGCCAGGTGCAGCTGATCTCCAGTCACTGTGACTAGCTGTGACTAGGAGGGTTGACTTAGACCAGCAGTCGTCTCACAAAAGTATTCGCTTTCTGATAGAGCCACTTTTGGTCGGCAGCTGGGAAGCGAAAGGGAAACCAGCCCCACTTGGAACGAAACGCCCGAATCACCTGCATCTCTTCCTATCCGTTCTGGTTTGGTCAGGCCAAGCCTAAGGAAGGGTTTCCTCCGACACCACCAGCAAGTTGCAACTTTTGAAGGGGAAGCCCAGGGAATTCTGATAAACCCATGGATGACGCAGTGGTTTTTTTTTCTCCCATTTTCGGATCTTATTGTGGTTTAGTGGTTGAAATCCAACCACCTGACTGCTGAAATGTAATTTGTTGCTCCCCTTCCAACGTCAACCAAGTTGCCCAGACCCGTTGAGTTTCCAATACTTGAACAGCTTCCGATTGCTTACAGACGATCGAAAGTCTCCTCCAAAGAGCAGTGAACAGTATACGTGAAGCTAGGCTGAATATGGCACACATCGCGAAAACAGAGATGCTTTCTGTGTGACTCAGTGGGCCAAGATGATGTGTGTAGCAATCGACAAGAACTCATTTGCTAGAGCCCAAGACCTGGTTGTGGCTCCCTCTTTCCAACAATCAAAGCTGACAGGAGGGTTTTGGCAGGAGGGTTTTGGAATAGCGCTCGTGAAATGAGCCCCTGCCTCACTTCCATTGAACACAGGGCTTGTGTTCAAGGGAAACCAACCGAACATGGGGCGCAAGGTGAATATGTTTGAGTGAGTGAGGCTTCATTCTGCAAATGCCTCTCGCAACTCCTGCGGTCCTTTACTTGGATTTTAATTTCCAGTTTTTGCGGATTTAAGGCATTTTCCAGCTCAAGGACAGAAAGACTCCACCCTCCACCCCACCCTCGGTGCACAGGGCCCAAGACCTTGTGGCCGTTGAGGTACGGCGCCGGCTCTGGTCCCAGCAGGGCCCCTCCCTGGGCGCGGGCTGGGATTGGTTCAGCGCCAAGGCGCCGCCGGGGCGAACAACAAAGTGTCGATCGTTTTGAGGCGTCCGAGTCCCGTTCCTTTTCGTGTCGATTTGGTCACGGATCTTTGGACTTTAACTCTTGGCCAGGGAAACACTAACGTGTTTGGTCGCTTTTTGAGGTCCCCTAGTTTGAGACAAACCCAAAACATGTTCATCATTGGCAGGGGATAATGGGAACGGCTCTCTTTCCACATCCTTTTTTCCTCGTATCCAGGATGTGGCCAAGAGATGGAGAAACACAGCCATCTTATCCAAGCCCATCTTTAGTAGAAGTCAAATGTTGGTGGTTCTAGGGGTTCTGCCTCTATTCCTTCCAGGGATCCTTCTTCCGGTGAAAGCGGGTGCCTGAAAACTGCTTACCAATGGGGAGAGAACCTGAGGCGTGACGTGGACGTCTCTCGGGGGAAGAGGTTGCCGGGGGTTGACGGGTTTCAGCTCCTTTCCCTTAATTCAATCAATGCCCTTGGGGGGCAATGATTGTTTTCTTTTGTGCTTAACAGTTCGGTGAAATTGCAACCACGGGTGGCTTGACACCCACTATAGTGGCCACGGCTTGGGTCAAAGTGACTAGATCGACGGTCCATTTGCGGATTGGGACTCACTCTAAGCTTCAACCGCCTTTTGGTATTTGTGGAAAAGGTTCCACATTTGGAAAGCTCATACGAGAGCTGACATTCAAGAAGTATTCCTGCAGGTTGTTGGTTTCCTTTTGGCGACACCCCGAAGGCCCCCTGTTCCTGGTGCGGCGGCTTCTTTTTGCCGGTTTGAGCTGTTTGCAGCCGCCGGCTGAGAAAACACTATCCTCTGTCGAGTCCCACCCATTTTGATAGGCCCGTTGGGCCTTAAGAGCCGCTTGTTTCGCACCGGGGAGTCAGGTAGACCATTGCAAGCCAAAGTTGGTTGGCGCAAGGGACGCTCAACAAAAAGGGAGAGACTCTGAAAGAGCCATTGGGGTCTTTCTGATCTATAGTTCGGTTAGAAATAGATCCGGGATCCACTGGTTTAGCTTGGTTTTTAGAAGCCATCCAGGGAACCCCGTATTTTGCCAAAGGGTCACCTTGGGTGGATCTGATGTTCCAAGATTAGACAGAGAAACACCCCCCCACCCACCCAAAACCCACCCTTTTCCACCCCCCACCCCACCCACCCACCCACCCACCCACCCACCCACCCACCCACCCACCCACCCACCCACCCACCCACCCACCCACCCACCCACCCACACCCACCCACCCACCCACCCACACCCACCCACCCACCCACCCACACCCACCCACCCACCCACCCACCCACCCACCCAACCCACCCACCCACCCACCCACCCACCCACCCACCCACCCACCCACCCACCACCCACCCACCCACCACCCACCCACCCACCCACCCACCCACCCACCCACCCACCCACCCACCCACCCACCCCCCACTTTTCCACCCCCCACTTTTCCACCCCCCCCACCACCCCCGCCACCCACCCACCCCCCGCCGCGGCAAAGACGCAAAGTTATCCACTCGAGGTGTGCCGGCGCATGGCAGTGCCCACCTTCCTCCGCTGGGCCTCCCTGCAGCACGAGGCACAGGCCCTGCAAGCTCTCCTGGCGCCCCTCGGCCCCTTGGCTCTCGGCGTGGGCTGAGGTGTCGAGCTCGCATTTGCCTCAATGAGTCAGTCTTTTCGTGTTTGTGGGAATCTAACCTGGAAATATGTGTTTCCCTTAGTTGTTTTTTCCTTTTTCTGGAATTATGTGTGTTCCCTTAGTTGTTGTTGTTTTTTCCTCCTTTTTTTTCCGGGGGAATCTATCATTGGACATACGTTGGTCCCTTAGTTCTACGGGGGATCTAGCAATGAAAATATGCGTTGTTTTTTCAAGGGGGCGAAAAAGCAAATGGAGGTAGGCCAAAGGAGGTGGGAACAAAAAGAGAGCATTTTGTGGGTGCCCTTAGTGAAACCAAAAGGGAGGGTTTGCAGCCAGATGTTTGCAGTTGCCAAATCTTGTTGAGAAACGGACAATATTCACTGTAATGTGTGGCGAAGGGAATACGAGATTGGGTAAAGATGCAAGGGGTCTGCATAATGACTAGCAATATATTTTCATCATTACTCAAAGTCGGATTGTATGGGTCACTTGCAGGATTGATCTGCACAATCTGCACACATTATACTCACTTGCTGGAGTTCATGGACTTGAGTCACTTCTTGGGTTTGGACCACTTTGGCAAACAACAAACGCTTGGGTATTTGTTTGGTTGGCCCGTTCCCTCCGTTGAATTTGTGAGTATAGCACCGGCGAAGATACGGCGGTTTTGCGGATGAAGGCTCCTGTCGCAAGGTTTCCCTTGGTTTGACTGCTATCATGTGCCCAAGACATATCCAGGTCCTCCAAGTACTCAAAGTTTGCTTCCACGAGGTATCCAGGAAGTCATCCAACCCCAAGCTTTTCCAAGCCATAATGTTGACCCCGGAGAAATCAGGCTGTTTATTCATACGGGGTGGTCCACTCCAAAAGTGACCCCCATATTTATATACAGGAGTTGATGAATATGGAGCTTCTAGGGATCTTGATATTTGGTTCATAAACTTACTTGTGCTATAGGTAGGGAATGACAACTAGTCCAGGTGTTCGGAATGAGCCGGTTTTGGGGATTCCGGGGACACCATGAGGGATTGTTTTAGTTTGAGGATCGTTCCCTCATTTCCGGCTGATAACCCGCAAGCAATATGGGCCAGACTGAAACATCGTCTTCCACCAGCACCCTCCAAGTCCATTTGTACTTACCAGCAAGTTTATGAACCAAATAACAATATCCCTAGAAGCTCCATATTCATCGGGGTGTCCCTGATTTTAGTTGGGATTCCTCTCTTTTGGAGTGGACCACAAATAGACCACCCTTGAAGGGTGCCGGCATGTGCTGAAATTTCCCGGGCGAGACCGCCAAATGGAACTCGTCGTTTGTTTTCAGCATGCTGAGCCGTAGCCAGGTCCATTCAGGACCTGAGGCCCAATGCGACCTTTGAATCAGTATCCGATTCGTTTGGTTGCAAAAGGGTTGGGATAAACATGTGGGTGTTGATCAGTATTCCATTCGGCCCCCAAGTAACCCCGGGTAATTTTTCCCATGTGGGAAAGTTATATCTTTTGGTGGCTTTCCGTAATGATCAGGAACTTTTGATCAATCCCCATGTTGCAACCTGCAGTGCGGCGATTTGCGCCACACTGAGAAGTTTGAACCATATCCCAAAGCCATCATATTTTTATTTGTTGATACGAGCCGAAGATGCCATCTGCACCAGGGGTTATTTTTGGGATGGTAGATGGAAGGCCCGCAAAATGAAACCTGCGTGTTGCTGTTCAACAAACATCATATTTGTTGTTGTTTCACCAAGCTCAAAACAAAGTGTGGCTTCACACATACAAGACTTGTAAGACACTCCGATATCTTGCATCCATAAACTGCCCTCTTTCAACAGCTAGGGTTGGAAAATGGTCCAAGCCCATTTTCTTCGGTTCCATGTAGCGGTAACCGGGAACTTAGGCCTCGAGTCTAGCCGGAAGCGGGCCTCCGCTGGATCTGATGAGCCTCCAGCCAAGCGCGGCTGGGGCCCTGGGGGGGGCGGGGGGGGGGGGGTTGTTGTTTTGGTTATTTTGTTTTTGGAGGGGGGAGGGGAGGAGGAGTTTGTGGGTCGGGAGTGGCGGTGTCATGGTTGTTTGGGGATTGGGGGAACTGAAGCTTGAAACGTGGATATTTTCATGCAATTGGCCCGCGGAAAAAAAGAAGAGAAAACACAACAACTAATTGCAAAGTGAGGGGAAAATCAGTGCCCCATGTAAACTTAGGTTCCACCGTGCCGGAGCATCCAGGATAGACTCCTGCGATTTCGACAAATGAGGCAATTTGGTAGGACATGGTCTGGATGTTGCCAACCCCTCCTCCAATTCCAACGCACCGAGGCTCCGGCTTGTCGGGACCTTTGGAATTGCAACACGATTTTAGTTGGTTTGAACGGGAGAGTCAGGTCTGGTACGCTAGTACAAATGTCGCGGTTTTGGCACGCAGCAACTGGAAGGAACGGATACAACAAAAAGCTCAGGTGATATCTACAACAGCATGCGGTGCTCTTTTTAGTGCTCGCACCACCCTGCAGCCCTCGCAGAAGTGTCGTGGAACTCTCGTGGAACCCTGGTGGAACCCTGGTGGAACCCTCGTGGAACCCTTGTGGAACCCTCGTGGAACCTTACCTCAGTGCCGCCCCGCACCACCCCGGAGCCTATCTGGGCTGAGACCCCAAAGCTTTCAGCTGTTGGGATGGCCAAATGGTTTGGTGACCTTCGGTTGGCTAGTTGGGCCAGCCGAAAGCTCAAGCTTTGCAGCAACCACAAGTTGGTGTCCTTTAGATCGCCCAAGAGGCACCAACTCTGTTTGGGGATAACGGTGCTTCCTTTTGGTTTTCCTTTCAAACAACAGGACCTGCGGTGGTTTCTCCTCTTAGTTTTCCTTTTTGAACAACCAGAAAATGGTGGCCCCTCAAAAACCGATGGCCCTCTGATCTGATTTTAGGCAGTCATCCATGCCCGGGTCCCCGGCGCATGCTCGGGGTGAGGCATGCGGTTCCGCTGTGGGCGCTCGGATGCCACGGAGCTCAGTGAGGAGGCAGTGAAGGAGCTTGGTGCGGGGTGGGAACGAACCTGGGGACCTTTTGGATACACTGCTTGAGTTTTTGCAGGTCCTGGACAATTTTTTGAAGCTGGTGTTGGGAATGAACCTGAGAGATCCCAGTTTCTGACCCAGGTTCATTCCCAACACCAGTTGATCCAAATCAAGGAGACCTGGGGCCGAACCAGCTTATCCAAACCAAGAACCCTGAATAACTGGGAGCTCTGTTAATATTTGGTTGATGAGCTTGCTGGTGTGATAGGTCGGGAATGACCGAGTTCGGGGGTTGGGAATGAACTGGAAGGCGACTTTTTGAAAGGAAACCAGAGGGACAACGAAAGAGTTTTGACCATGGCTGTCGGTTCAACAAATCCCAACCTGATTCTTTCTGCCCAATCAGCACATTTGGGTGTGTCTTTTCTAGTGGACCGCCCAACATGTTGGGCTTGCCTTTCAGTTTCCCTTTGAAACCACAAAAACATGCGGCTGCGGGTCAAACAAACGTACCAAACTGGCACCTTGGTAAATGGAAACAAAGACTATAACCTTTTCAACCCCAGCTGTTTCCCTTTGAAATCACAACAAAAAACGCGGTACCCTCCAAAGAAACCACGGCGCCACCCGCTTGAGGACATCTACGAAACAGTGCAGAGGTGGCACTCCCAGGAGTCTTCCCGAGTCCCCGGGCCATTTTCGCCTCGAAGCCAACCCGCTGTTGCTTCCACGTGCTCATGTTGTGTTAATTGATTGATGTCTCAGGGATGTGGGGAACCCTATTGCCTTCCACTTGCCTAAGAATATATTGTTTTTATTTTTATTTTTGCTTTGTGTTGCTAATGCCCTGTTGGTTGCTAAGGGAATCCTCAGTCCCCGAGGTCCTGGAGTTGATGAACTTTTTGGGAAGACCACGTTGCGGAGGAATCCATATGTCTTTCTTCTTCGCTGGTGACCTGGACCCTAGACCCTAGACCCTCACGTCCCGTATGTTTCCCATGTACTGCTCAGCCGGACCCAGGGGGATCAGCGCGGTTTCCCCCCGAGTCGCAGGTTTTTGGTGGGACCAGTTGGCTCGATGTTCTCTTTTGGCTGGTGGGTTCCGGTTTTGGCTGAAGGTGTTGTATTTTTTAATGTTCCCGGGATACTTTAATGTTCCACAGATCCTTCATGCCATGTTTGAATGTTTCCCAGCGTTTTTTCATGTTCCCAGCTGGTTGTGGCGGAAATGGTGCTGGTTGGCAAATGTCTCGTAGTGTTTTCAGATGCATGCCCCCCTTTCAGCGGGTTTTTCGTGTTGCTTCCTGTTGACCAAAAGAGTCATATAAAAATCTATTAATTCTTGCAATGCTCCGCAAGAGAGAGGCTTTCAGGTTGCCCAACTGGTGGCTTGGTTTGGTTTGGTTTGGATTTGGATTTGCACGGGTTGGTTCTTGTAGAGGGTCGATGGGACACCACCCCGGATCACCACCAAGCCACCAAGCCGGGCTCCAAACCGGCAGTTGCCGGGAAGTTGAGGCTTGGTGCGAAGCACAACTCTTTATGTCCACAGATGTCACCCAAATCCTGGGCTACGTGGCTCCTTAAACCTTGGGCCATCTCTGAGTCAAGATGTTTTTCCGCCGGGTGTAGAGTTGTTTTTCCTTGAACGTCGAGCAAGGTGTTGGTGGATTCTTGCCTTCGCAGGGGCGACCCCCTTTTGTCTTTTTTTTTTTTCCGCTAGTTGTGTGAGTGGTCAGAATTCTAGGTTTTCCAGTAGTGCCCTTTTCCCGTTTTTTTTTTGGGGATTCCCCTACTAAAGTAGACTACAGCAAGGTAAGGTACCAACTTATTCTGGTCCCAGTGGGTTTGGCTGCTTCCGCGCTGGCCTGAACCGCCGGAGGAAGAAACTCCCGGAGTCTCCAGGACCCTTTAGACATAGGTGCATGACCCCATGATTTAGGGCAATGACCCCATTTTTTTTGCAGGGTCATGGAGACTCTAGGTGCTTGTTAATATGGTTTGATTCCAGGGAAAAGCACCCCACGAATTCAATAAACCGGGGTTGATTGTGGAGTCAACAGAGAGACTCAGTTGTCCGTCTTCAAACAGGGGTCTGTACAGTTGGGCAGGTTTGATAGCACCTTGCGGGCCAATCTCAATCAAGGTGTTAGTTTTGGTGGGATGGTGTTTTAAGGGACAAGGCTTCCTGTCAACCAGAGTGGCTTCATTTTGTTTATCTTGCCTCAGTACCCGGATAGGTGAATTGCGCAAGTTCCTCCAGCTATTTGGGCTTTCATCCCATTCTCGCTGCGCAAGTTTGCTGGTGTTTTGCTCCAGGCATCATTCGGCATGGTTTGTAAGTTCATGTTGACCCCGGATTCATCAACTCCCCTCTTGCTATTCTCACTTGCCCAAAGTCGACCTTTTGACCTTTTGGTTTTCCCATTTTGGTTCTTCTTTTGGTAAAGGTCCCAAAAGGTTAACCTTTTATTTCCAGGTCTTTTGGGCAAGTGAGTATTACATAAAGGGGTCCGGGTGCGGATTCCTTGCTGGGACCGGACCTTGGCACGCCACCAGCGGAAAGGCACGCCGGACGCAGGAGCACCGTGAAATGATGAGGGCGCACTTCCAACGCGGCGAGGAGAAGCCGGATGGTCGCATCACCCAAACGGCCCCCAGGGGCATATGGCTGTGGTTGTCAAAACCGTTTTGGGATCCCATTTTGGTTGGTATTTGAATTCGCCACCCATTTTAGAACCTATTTTGGTGGGGATTGGGATGTTCACTTTTGGTACGATTTGGATTTTGACCCATGGCCATATATTCAGTGCAATTGGGTGACAATCATTTTGCGCAGCCTTCTACTTTCACCCTAGAGGCGGGTTTCACTGTTGGTTTAAGTTTATGTTAGATCGAAACAACACTTACTGGGTACCTCTTTAAAGCAACCTCAAACATGCTACCCTCGACAAACCACGAGCCACCTGCTCACCTCTTTTTTTGACAGGTTCTCATTTTCTGATTGGTTCAAAAGGAACTCATTTCGCCGCTCGATGCCCGCAGTTGCCCAGTTTGGTGTCACCAGTTTTCGCGACCAACGCCCCAGCAACCCAAAAGGTTAACCTAGCCCATGGACTGAGTTTCTAGAAAGCGGTTTGGATACGTCCATCCTTTTCGGTATGTTGGGAAGGCATATTTTCATATTCTATCCACAAAAGCCACATCCAAGCCGTTTTCTAGAGTTTGGAGTTCGTCCATGTTCAGATAACTTCAAGGGCCAACCCAACCCTTTTCGGGGTTCGCGGTGGAACGAACCTAGGTGTCTTGTGCAGTTCTTAGTTTGCCTTGCAACACACAGGCTATTTGCTGTCTCGAGATCTACTGCGTTTTGCAAAGCCTTGTTAATTATGATGTGCAGGGCAGCACTGAAGGACATAGCCTTGGCTTGTTGGAGACGTGCTTCATGCTTGTGTGCACAATCAATCCAACATCATTGCGCCCAATAGTGGATTTTCCTGTTGTAGTCGTGCCTCACTACGGAGTACGGATTAAGATTAGGGACCCCGCCTTTTGAACCACCGAGGCAGAACTGTTGAATATGCAGCTGTCCGCGCTACAGTCAGTTGCCTTTTGTTTTCCCGCGGACTCCCAACCAAAAGGGGTACGAGTCCATTCCGAGCAACTCATAAGATTTCCCACCGGTTTGTCCATAGCACGCAAGTTTGTCCGTAGGTTCGAAATGGGTGGTTTGTTCACATAACTTTCTATAGGTGGTTTTTCTGTAGGTAGGTTGGTATGTGTGTCTGTGTGTGTGTGTGTGCGTGTGTCTTTGTTTGAGGGTGCACTTTTTCGTGAACTTATATAAAAAGAAGCCAAAAGGAACCCCCACCCATTTTGGGACTCCTATGTTCAAAAACGGCAAGCCCATTTTGAGGACCCTTAGATGCCAGCAGGAGTCCTCGGGCAAATCACGGGCGCGGTTCGAGCGCAGCAGCAGCGGGACCTTCAGCGTGACGCCCACCCTAGACGCCCACGAGGATCGAGTCGAGGGCGTGAGAAATTGGCAGTGGGTCAAAACCCTGTACCCCCGGTGAACATCAAAAACCGGTGGCAAATGGATGTTCCACCCCAATATGGAGCCAGAGGTTAAGAAATATGGCCTGGCCACAGAACCTTTCAAAGGCTGATTGTTAATAGGCGCATGTGAACCCATGGCCATTTGGGACTCTATGGGGGCTTAATTCCCGTAATCAAGCCACAACCAAGGATGGTTCATTGACCCTGTACCCCTGGTGAACATCACCCAATATGGAGCCATAGGTTAAGAAATCTTTCAAAGGCTGATTGTTCATAGGCGCATATTAACCCATGGTGGGATTGAATGGGGGCTGATTTCCCATAATCAAGCCATAACTAATGATGGTTCATTAACACTGTACCCCTGGTGAACATCAGAATCGGTGGCAAATGGAGCCATAGGTTAAGGAATATGGTCCCCTGGCCACATGTAACCTTTCAAAGCCTGATTGATTGAACTCATGGCCATTTGGGACGCTATAAAGGCTGATTTCCTGTAATTAAGCCATAACTAATGATGGTTCATTGACCCTGTACCCCTGGTGAACATCAAAATCGGTGGCAAATGGATGTTCCACCCCAATATGGAGCCATAGGTTAAGACATATGGTCCCCTGGCCACATGGAACCTTTCAAAGGCTGATTGTTTATAGGCGCATATGAACCCATGGCCAGTTGGGAATCTATGGGGGCTTGATTCCCGTAATTAAGCCATAACCAAGGATGGTTTATTAACCCTGTTCCTGGTGAACATCAAAATCGGTGGCAAATGGATGTTCCACCCCAATATGGAGCCATAGGTTAAGACATATGGTCCCCTGGCCACATGGAACCTTTCAAAGGCTGATTGTTTATAGGCGCATATGAACCCATGGCCAGTTGGGAATCTATGGGGGCTTGATTCCCGTAATTAAGCCATAACCAAGGATGGTTTATTAACCCTGTTCCTGGTGAACATCAAAATCGGTGGCAAATGGATGTTCCACCCCAATATGGAGCCATAGGTTAAGACATATGGTCCCCTGGCCACATGGAACCTTTCAAAGGCTGATTGTGTATAGGCGCATCTGAACCCGTGGCCATTGAGGGCTGATTTCCCGTAATTAAGCCATAACTAATGATGATTCATTTACCCTGTACCCTGGTGAACATCACGGCGGTCACCGGGCTCGAGTTGGTGGATCTGAAGCCAGCCAAGCTGACCGCCAAAGCGGTGGACAGCTTCGCCGAACAGTTGACAGCTGCGGATGCACTCCCGAGACACAAAGCGGAAGCCTTTAAGATAAAGCCGCGGCTTATTGTGCACGGAGGACTATGCCAGACCATGGAGACGGCATTGGTCAGAAAGGCATGGGATGCACTGCTGCTCTCCACAGCCGTGGAGCTCCCCAATCCACCAAAGGATCTGCCAGGCCTTGACAACCGCCTTGCTCACCAACTGGCCAGCTGGGGGGGCGGCAAGTACGCCTGACGTGGAACTTTTCAAAGGCTGGTTGTGAATAGGCGCTTCTGAACCCTCTCTGATTTTTTTTGGAAGCTGATTTCCCGTGTACAGCCTAATGATGGTTCATCAGCCTTGTACCTCTGGTGAACATCAAAATTGTTCCACGCCAAGATGGAGCCATAGGTTCACAACCATGTTCCCTGGCCACATAGAACAATTCAAAGTCTGATTGTTTATAAGCGCATATGAATCCATGGCCATTTGGGACCGTATTGGGGCTGATTTCCCGTAATTAACTGACGATGGTTCATTAACCCTGCACCCCAAATGGATGTTCCACCCCAATATGGAGCCACAGGTTAAGAACTAGGGTCTTTGGCAAATGGATGTTTGCCCCCAACATGAAGCCAAGGCTTCGAAAAGGGTTCTTTGACCACATGGAACCTTTCAAAGGCTGATGTTTCAGAAATATGGTCACCTGCCACATGTAACCCTGATTGTCTGAGGGGCATAGGAACCCATCACCATTTGGGACGCTACAAAGATTTTCCATAATTATGCTATAACATGCTATGACTAATGATGGTAAATCGGTGGCAAATCTAACACATATGGTCCGCTGGCCACATGGAACCCTTCAAAGGCTGATTGTTATAGGCGCATATGAACTTATGGCCATTTGTAATTAAGCCAAACCTCCACCCCATTATGGAGCCATAGGTTATGCTCATGGCCAAATATGGTTCCCTGGCCAAGACGCAATGCGACGGCTGACTTGCCTTTTTGGGGCTGATTTCTCACAATTAAGTGAGAGGTAATAGGGAACCCATATACTCAGGGTGCATGCGGTCACATGGCCCATCCACTCCAGTGAGACAATCGCAGTCGGCACATAAACCGGATTTGCAAACCCTTTTCACAAAATTTGTTTGTTCCTTGTTTGGTCCAGTTTTATAGTCATGGCACTAACCTTCTGGGTCCTATGGGCAACTCAGGGATAAAAATGGCACAGGTGCACCTTGGGCACCAAAGGCCAATGCATGTTCTGCCATGACTCCTGAAAAGAATCCATGATGTTGGACTGGGTAGCTCACACAGAGACGCAAACACACGTGCCCACGCACCCAGGCACGCAGGCATACGTACATACACGTGTGCTGCACCTCACATATTTGTGTGTCACCTTTTGCCAGGCCACGGTGTTTGCCCTCAACGACTTTGAGGCGAAGCCAGAGAATGAGGCACGGGAGAGACGCAGACTCTTACTGTCCAGAGTAACATGGAACCCACAACTCTGCCCATTTTCGTGGAATTCTCTGTGGGGGGGCCGTTTTCATGTTCAGCGTTGGGGATTAGATGTTTTTCATGGGGTTTGTAAAGTTAGAATGTTCTGCTGAAGGGCGAATTCAAGGGTGGAGATAAGGAAAGGTCTTCAGGAACGCCTCATGCTTTGTCTAGAGGGATGCTCAGTGGTTGGAGTCCTATGCTGGAAAACGGGGTTGTTCAGATCGCCCACATTGGCATGATTTGCGGGATCCGTATTCGCGAAGCATAGGAAAGCTTCGAGAACAGCACGATGAGGAATGAGGTATCCCTAGACCTGTGGATGGACAACATCCTGTTGTGATGGATCAAACATTTTGACAACTTGATCAACCAATCTCTACCTGTTCCAGGATTCACCCCGCCCCCACTGTGGTTGCCCGGTGTCCCTTAAAAGGAAGGAACGCCTTTGGCCAGGACATGGCCATGGGTCAAAATCCTGAACATCCCAATCTTCTCTAAAATATACAGGTTCTAAAATAGGTGCGCCTACCCCGAAATGGGATTGTATTGGTTTTGACCCACAGCCACATGGCCTCCCCTTCCGTCCGACGGTCCCAGGCGACCACCGCCGCCACCTCGCGGGCGTTGGGCGCTCCGGCGCCGGGGGCGGCGTCAAGGCACATCGAGGAGGCGCAGCTGAGGTTGGCTCTGGAGCTGTCCAAGAAGGAGTCCCAGGCAGGGCCTGCATGCACGCAGGACGCAGCGGAGTGGAAAACTCAACGGTGATGTGGGCCTTTGTCATTCTTGCTCTAAGTTGGTGCTTCTTTCTTGATTTTGTTATGTATTTATTGTAAACGCTGCGCGTTGCCCGCCTCGGCCAAGCCGAGAGCGCACAGCGTCTGTGGTTCGACTGCAAGCAGCAGAGCTGGTCAAGTGGCGATTCAGGCGTGGACAGGTTCCGGCGTCGTTGGACCAATTGATGTCATGGGCCTGCAGGAATCCCCAAGGCTGGTGGAGGGCCTGGGCTGGGCGGGCCTGAGGCAAGTGTCACATTGGGCTGGTCTCAGACATGTGAGTCTAGACATGCCAGGCATGGCTGGTTTGTCTGATCGGCCGCAAGCTGGCCGGTCGGCAGCGCAAGGAGGATCCGGGCCCCGCGCGCCTTCCACTCATCAACGCAAGCGTGGATAGCTGCTGTCTTTCCGGAGCCAGGCGGCCCGAGCGCCGCGAGGATCTTGGATTTCTCCGCCGCCCGCACCGTCGCCTCGTAGCTTTCGTCGTCCTCGGCGTCTCGCGCCTCCACGCTGCGCTGGACATTCCTGCCCACAAGCGCTTTCAGGCGCTGCTGGCACGGGTCCAAGGATAGATGCCCCTTGCTGCCATTCTCCGGCCGTTCCTCCAACTCGTCGTCCGGGTCAAGCTCGCCCTGCAGATATCGCTCGACAAGCCGCCGCTGCGCCCGGATCCAGGCCAAGACCGTAGCAATGTGGTCGTCGCTGTACGCCTCCAACTCCATGTCCTTGCGGATTCGCGGCTCGTCCGACCAGTACTCCGGCGCTTTCTGCAAGGCGCAAGCAAAGTACTTCAGCTTCTCCGGAACGCAGGCGACGATGTCTTCTGGCAGCAGCTCGTCGAGGCTCTGGAAGGGGAGTAGAGATCCCGCAGCCGGCTGACCGTGGAGGCCGCGATCAGCTTTTCACCCCGCGGCCAGCGCGCTCTTGCGAACTCTTCCAGCAACGTGTTTGGCAGCCTGCTGGTTGGCGGGCTTGAAATTTTCTGGGTTTGCTTGCTGCATGGGCCCATTCTTTTTGTCCCGAAAAGCATGATCTCCTGCAGGCCTGTCTGGCCAATCTGAGACCAGCCCAAGCAGCACCCCCCACACAGGCCCCACACAAGGGGTAGGAGGGGGGTGGGCCGCGGGAAGGGCTGGCCCCCTTCAAACCAAGGCAAATTCGGGTCCCTCGCCTTTTTGGTGGGTCAGTTCTAGACTCACTCGAAGGCCCAAGAAAGGACCATAGGACTTTCACATGGGAAACGTTACTTGGGTGCTCGGCCAAGTCAGGTAGTAAGTTGTTGGCAACCTAGGAAAAGCCCTATTTTATAAGTCCCTCCAAGTGGGGTTGGCCCCTTTCCCAAATGGCTAACCCCTTACTAACTTGGCCGAACATCCAAGTACCCATTGTCATTTTGGAGCCTTGAACGGAATATTGATCAACCCCCATGCCAGAATCAGAGGTTAGGATTTACCGAAGTCAGTGGACATTTCTATAGTCTGCCAGTCTCCTCTCTTTCTCTCTGAATCTGACTTGTTCAACACCTACCTGTCGAAGTCCGAACTTTTGTTTCTTGGAAAGCCGCACGTGATCCTGACCTCAAAGTGGACAAGATTGCAGCTGAGTGAAACTCCCAGCATCCCAGGAAACACAAAGGGTCGAGCAAGTGAACCAGACAGCCATTGAACAGGCTGACCAAACCGACCAAAAAACACTGCAAGGTCAGCGAGGAGCCAAGGGGGTCCTTATACGGGTTTGTCTAACAGGGGCAGACACCCTTTTTCACAAAAAGGGTGGGTTCCTTTTGTGTTCGCTTTAAAACAACCACCAAAAGGGTACCAACTCAAAGAAAACAACCACACCCAACCTTCCCTCATTTGAAACATCTGAGCCGATTTGATTCGTAAGCTTTCTTGGGACCGATTTTGGGAACCTGGGCAGTTGATTGCATGTTGAAACAACCATACCCATTTCGGCTTTGTTTGGGGGGGAACAACAATGAGGCTGTTTTTCAAGCTGGGTCCCCTGTCCGGCATGCTTGGCGTGGCGTCATGCCATTTGGCTTCGTGCTGGGACACGGGACACTCAAGACCCCAAAGCTGACCACCTCCTACGAAAGCAGCGGCTTTGTTTCTGTCTCCGTCCCTCATCCGGTTCCTTCGGGTGGATCTTGTGGATGTGCTTGGGTTTGCATATTTAACCCAAAACGTTTCGCAGATCTGAGCCCCTTTGGCACCCAAAAGCCCCACAGGAATTTCATGTGCATCTCCAAGCCCACAGAGTTTCACTTGTTTTTGGCCAAGTTGTTGTTTCTCGGGTTTAAGCAGCACCTATCAGCTCAATCTAAAGTGGAGGGTTGGGGAAATGTTCGCTTGGCTATTTTGGGGGGCCGAGCCGTTTCAAAGATCCACAGCGGTTGTATTCTGGGGAGCCTCTTGTTGACAGTACCCTTTGCCTGTGATGCCCTTTCGTTTCTTGACTTCTTGGCAGTGATGTGGGTGGGTCTCAAAATTAGGGACCACAAGAGGGGTATCCTCAAAACACATACACCCATTTGTTCCAACCACTGCAAGCAAGTGCCGTTTCATTTTGGGCACTCACTTCCCCTGGACTTTTGGCTAGACCATAGTCGGACACAAAGCGACGTGTTCCTATCCCAGGATCCCAGTTACCAACTTAGTAGGTAACCAACAATTTGTATCGAGGTGCTTAAAGGGTGGTTCCCTAGGTTTCCTGCTATGTAAATGAGTCAAAGCTACTCACTTTCGTCACAAGTTTCGGGATTCAACTCGGTTGATTGGGGAAACATGTGTCATCTCCGGCCAGGCAGGATTCAAACGAAGAAAGGAGACTACTGTTAGACTTTCGGTCACTGGTTCCACTGTTCAAGGGGGGGCTGGGCAACAACAAAGCAAACTCGACATTACAATTTTGTGGATTCACCTCCGGTCCAGCCCTTAGTCGTCTATAGCAGCCATTGCATCATTGTTCCAGGGGTGCCTTCCCCGCACTTCCAACATAGAACTCCGCCGTCACCAACCCGCCGTGCCAGGAGGTGGCGCCGGCTCCGGAGAAATCCGAGATCCCCGAACCCTCCGCCGAAGTCGTCGAAGCGGCGGGTGCGGCGAGCCAGGCGGAGGAGTTGACTGGGGTCGATGGCTGCACGTGTCAGGCATCCATTTGTGTCCCTGTCCAAATGGAAGAAGTTCGGGCTGGGCGGTGTTGTTCTCATTCGCCGCCTGAAGCGAATTTTAAGCGGGATCTCACCTTTTGGTGTGAAAAATCCTGATTTTTGGCCCATTCTGAGCTCATGGACCCAAAATTTGGACTTTTGTTTTTCTTTGTTTTCTTTTTTTTTTTAATGTTTGGGCCCTTTGGGCTTAAATGACCATATGAGCCCTGTCTTGATTGCTGTCCCGTCGGAGGTGCAGCTGCAAAAGGGGCGAAAGGCAGACAGCATGCCTTGCTCAGTGTGGAATAACAGGCGTTCTCATATTTGCCTTTGTAGACGGATCAAATATTCCAGTATGGCTATTTAAATTTAAAGTTCCTCTAGTGTGAGGCAAACAAGCAAGGCTCAATAAGGAAAACCCATGGCTTTGGGGGGTCGCCCCTACTGGTAGACATCATTTAGCATTGATCAAACCCGATGAAACTTGTTGATTCAATCACCTACCAACTAGTGCAACTGGTGCAGAGTGGATTAGGCTCATCCACACTGCTGTCTCTCATTTCCCTGTGTACCTCCAAAAGTGGCATGTAAGTTCTCAGTTGCCGAAAGCCAATCGCCCTTTTGGCCTATTGGTTTTCCCTTTCTGGCAACCATTTTCGTAGACCCAACCGGCGACCGCCTTTGACTTCTGGGTCAAAGGGGCAAGTGAGCGTGGTTCAGGTGGCATGCCGCAAGGTGCCCAGATAGAAATGCGGAATCTGGTTTGAACTGGGCTGAGTTCGGGATGTTTTTTTTTTTTTTTATTTTTATTTTTCGTGAGTGGCCCCAAAAGTCAATCCCTGAGTTCATGGACTTCAAACTTTTTGGGAAGACCATGTTCGGACCTTTTCTGGCCAATCAACTCAGGAAGTGAGAGAATGTGAGCCTTATATTTCCATTGCTGAGAATTCCCTGCCAACCTGGGTGTGTCATTTAGGGGTCCCCCACAAAACGGCTCCGATGTTCCTTTTGGTGTCCTTTCAAGACCTTGGAAAAAGGGGCGCCAAGCGCCAAAAACGGATCACCCAACTCTGAGCCCATGAAATCGCGCGGATCGGAGCGGGGACATCGCGCGGACCGGAGCGGAGGAGCGGGCGCCGGAGTTTGACGGGCTGCCCCTGCGCGGCGAAGGCTGGGACGTGGGCGGGATACCAATGCTAGGTGCCCCAGCTGCCAACAGGGGTCCCCATATTTCCCTTTTCTGGTGGTTTTAAACATCACCTTTTTGATCCATGAAAGGTGAGGGGTCCCCATATTTCCCTTTTCTGGTGGTTTTAAACATCACCTTTTTGATCCATGAAAGGTGAGTATCCCTTGATAGGGGGTGATGTTTTAAAGGGAAATATAGGGAGCCCTGGCCAACTTTTACCGTTTCTTTTTCACCAATTATGTTGACAACATTCTAACATAAATTGACTGTACTACCAGTTGTAATAACGTCATCTATCAACAATATTGATTTATCTAAAATATCTTCGTTTTTTATCATTGAACCTAATACTACCGCGGAGATGTTTCTTTCTTTCACTCTTTGTTAATCCCTTTTGAGATTTACAGGACAAAGGGGCACCCTTCTTCTAACCTCTGGAGGACCTAGAATGACATTACCATCACCCCCTTAAATCTGGAATTGGGGAAGGGATGTCGACCCCTGGAATTCCATTGGTTCCAGTTCCCTTTGATGGGAACGACTGGATAAATGGAATTGGGGACCCCCCACCGCCCTCCCTGGACTTTGGTCACTTTTTGAGAAGACCAGTTTGGTTGTCTCGAAAGTTTGGTTGCTTTTTCTGGCCAATCCCCTCAGGAAGTGAGAATTCCAGCAGATTTACAGCATGCGGTTCTTTGTTTTCGTAGGTTGGACTTTTGTTGGATGTAACTATCCTTTCACGAACTTTGTTTCTGCTGATAACATCACCTTTCGGGTAACACCAGCGTTTGGTTGCCACTTTTACATGAGTGTCCTCCTGGGGTTATGTCCTTGGTTGCCACTTGTTAGATGAGCTTCCACGAGGAGAGATGTTTAAACCGAGAAATATAGGGCTCGAGCCCTGTAGGACTTTGGAATCTTCTAATTATTTGCTTAAGAGTATGCGTGCTGTTTCCCCTGAAAGAACCTGTCACTGCGCCGGACATTTGTGTTTCCAGGGAACTTGAGCAATACAAGTGGAGGGAATGTGTTTCTTCTATGCGCTGGCTCTGGAAAGGGCGGGCGGAGCCCGAGCTAGCAGAAGGAAGCCGTTTCGCGAGACGTGCTCACGGTTTTTGTTGTCTCAGTCAGCCAACCGCCCGGATCTGACAAATCAATGTTCGCCCTCGGCAAGCGTGTTGAGCCCCAACAGGTGATGACCTTCGATTTTCGATTTTCGGAACTGGGTAGCTGAGTTTAGAGATGTTTGGAAGTCACTTCTCATTTCTCCCAGATGTGTTCCTTTTCAGCATCAGGGACTTCTGGTGCCGAGATCCCAATTCACCCTGATTGCGTACATCTTTGCCTTCCAAAACGATGGGATCCATAAAGTTGATCACTTCACATCTTCAAGTACCATGTGTCTTCGGCCTTGACGCTGCAATGACTGGTAAGAGGGGCAGCTGAACGACACCAGCTGACCAAGTTGGCCTTTGAGGTACCTTCCGACATAAGGCCTCAGGCGCTAACTTGTCTCAGTGGTTCAGTGGCCCCAATTCTTTTTCCCTGTTTTCTTGGTGGCTGCCCCACTAAAATGGTCCAAGCCCCAAAAAGGGTTCCCTTTTTTTCCCAGGGTCACTGAACAACTGAGTAGTACACCCGTTGGCCGGAATTCCGTCACGGAGCCCAAATTTGCCGCTGGCCCTTTTCAGGCGGCGTGGCGGCGGCGCAGGTCTTTGTGAAGCCCCACTGCCTGGCGCAGAGGGCAGGAAGCCCAGCCCTTGAGTGGGACTTTGACCCGTATCCAGTTGCCGAAGGAATATGTTTGTTGTTTCCTCCCATTTGCTTAAGAATATGTTGTGTTTTCCCCTGTCGGTTTTAAAGGGAGCCTATGACTGCTGGACATATTTTTCCAGGGGGCTTAAGCAAATGGAAGTGTCTTTTACCCATATGCCTGTTCTTGTGAGTGGCCATTTCTGCCAATTGCTTCTTTTCTCTGGTTTTGTGCCTGTTGGAAAATGGGAAGGCTGTTCTTGTGAGTGCCCAATTATGCCCAATCGCTTTTTGTTCCTGGTTTTAGGGGAATCTATCGCTGGAAAGGGAATCTATCGCTTTTTCGGCAGGGCTTCTTGCCCTGTTCAACGCCTAGGGCCCACAAGGGGGTGCTTTGGGGGCTTCCACGTAGGGTTCGGCAGGGTTCCAGAGATTCGGTTCCAGGGAATTCCGGGCCTGGGCTGAGCTGGGGCCTGGGCTGATGTTTTCTCCTGTTGGTGTTGAAGGGAAGTCTATCACTACCGGAAATATGTTCATGTTTGTGCAGCGGACTTAAGCAAGTGGAAGACATGGGTGTGGTTCCCTTGAGTTTCTTCGAAGACCAATCCAAAAAGGATGAGTTACCAACTCAACATGGGGTACCCTCCAAAGATTAGAACCCCCCCTGAGTTCATGCACTTTAGTCACTTTTTTGGGTTTGGACCGTGGTGGCAAACAAGAAGACTCAGGAGGTGAGTTTCTTGGTGTCCAGTTTCCATTGCAACATATCTCTGTTTTTGTTAGTTACTCATGCAGGTCTGAAAACACTAGGTATATAGAACTTCACATTGTCCAACAGTGTTTCCTATCGTGTGCTGTCAGGTGTGCTGTGTGCTTCCTCCGCTGGTTGTGTTGCGATTGTCCGATATGTTTCCCATTGCGTTGCGTGTTTCCTGTATGTGGTTTTTGTTGGTGCTTGTGTCAAACAGCAATTTCCTCTTAAAAGTTTCCTGCTGCTGTCCTTCTTGCTGGGTAGCATAGCTGAGTTCCCTTGCTGTAGCAAGTCGATTGGCAGACCGTGTCTTCACTTGAAAAATGGTCCGGCCACGGACACGGCCGCGCACAAACAGGAAGTAGCGGGGTTGTTATGGGGGGGGGGCCTCCCGATGCCCCTCTTTCCGCTGTTTCAATAACAAACTTGGCTGCCCTGCCGCAGCACGAGCCAAACCGCCTGCATTCCTGACATCCGGCCCATTTTTTGTAGGCGCTAAAGCCGCAATACCTGCTCCACAAACTTAGACTTCTACCTGCTGCAGCCCGACCTCCCGCCTGCCGAATCCCCGTGGGGCACAATCGCCTCACTAGTGTTGCCCCGCAACCTTGGCCGCCGAATACAACTCGAGACTTTCTGATTGGACTTGTTCTCACCCTTCCTTTTAACATCTTTTTCTCCTGTGGACTTGCTCTCACCCACCCTTTTATCGCGTTCTTCTTTCTTTCTTCTTTTTTTTTTTGGGGGGGGGGGCTGGCGGTAGGTCCAAGACATGGTTGTTGTTGGGAAACATTTTACATTTTTGCTTATTGTGGTTTAGTGGTTGAAATCGAAATCCACTGAACTGCTAAAATTTGAGTTGTTTTGATCCCCAAGCCCAAGGTCAACCAAGAGGAGCTTACCTTTGCTGCATTTTGCTTGGATCTTGGGACTTCAACTTTTTGCCGACGAATTTGGGTTTTCCGTATCAAACCACTCAAAGTGAGTCAAACTTTTAGCAGGGCTCTGCAGATTTCGCCACCAAGTTACCGTAGGCCAGCGTTTCGGGGGCTAGCGGCTTCCCAGGTGGAGAGCTTGCCCGACGCGCTGGAGCGCTCCATCGAGTCCATCGAAGCTTGGCTGTGTTCGTTTTCGTGCGGCCGAAGGGGGGAGGGGGGGAGGTGAAAGGGAAAGCCAACGAATCGCTTCTCCCCGTTTTTTGTTGAACAAATCACGACAACAAACAAAACCCCCCCCCCCCCCCCCCCCCCCCCCCAAAAAAAAAAACAAATCAGCGGAGGAGTTTTGTTTTTGGGGGGTCGCCGGTTTGGGCCTAGATCCAGTTGATAGTTTGCTGTTTAGTATTGGACTTGTATTGGAAAGTGGACCTCCTTTGGTTTGGAGCAAAAACTGCTCAGATTTCCAACGTTTAAGCAAGCACTTCGAAAGGGAGCGTCCCAGCAAGAACTTCGAAAGGGAGTGTCCCATGGTTTCATAAGACTGTTTGCTTGTGTTGGGTTGTTTGGCGAACAGACCCTATTTAATAATAGAACTTTCTTGTCGCAGAAGGCAACCCTTGGGTGGCAAAGAAAACGTGGAGCCTTCTTTTCTCAACACACTCTGGAAGGGGGACCCCTAACAAGCATAGTTTGGGAGCTTGGTGGAAAGCATGTGTAGTCTCAGGAGTTTAGTATTGGTTTAGTATTGGCCAATTTACATTTAGTATTGCCGATTGTTTTGCCGCGGCTCGGGAGTTTTATTATTCGGGGTAGGTTGATTAATAAGAAGAAGTGATTAGGTCCCCAAGTAGTGCCCTTTAGCCCTTTGTTGGGAGGAGGGTTCCCATACTAAAATAGACCACAGGAAAAAGGGTACCCTTTTTCTAACCTCTCTACCCTTGTTATTCCAAAGACCTGCAAAAAACAGGTCTTCCAACATACAGCCCGCCAAAAGTAGGCCGATCCAAAACGTTACATCATCAGACCCCTTTTGCAGCAGCCTGTGTTTTCATCCGCTCGCAGCACCTATCCGCAATGCGTCATTGTTTGGGCATGATTCCAGTCAGGCAGCCGATCATCAAATTCAAATGCTCCTTCAATTCAATAGTCACTTTCAGGGGCCAATCACTGCCTTCTGGGCCTCATGTCCCGAATCAATCGGGCCCATCGGGCTCGCGAAGCTTTAAGCCTGTACGATGCTCGGCAAAGCAACGAGTACTCGAAGCGAGCTGGGTGAAGGTGAGCCGACATGGAACGCAGTAGTCCCATGGCATCCTCGTCCACATAGCCGTGAACAAAGCGTTGATTAAAGCCTCAGAAGGAAGTTTCTCATTGAAACTCAACCCGGGGCAAATGCGCTTCGCGTGTTAGTGCCAGCAAGAAACGCCACCGTCGAACGCGAGCAAGCTGCTCCACCCAAAGATGCAGTTTTGGCTTGATCAGCCACCACTTGCGAACCCGCCTCACAAGTGTGGAAACCAGACCCCAAAGCCCTCAAAATGCATTTCAGAGCGCGCCTTATGGACATCCGGGTCAACACGACATGCATGCGCGCAAACCGCATGCCAAGGGTGTGCAACTCCTCGGCCACGGTCCTTAGAAAGCCAATGTTAACACACGCAAAATTGTCAGCGATAAGCATTTTAACACCGTTCTAGCCGAGCTTCTCTGTGAGAAAGCGGCCATGGCTTTGCGACACATTGAAGTAGCGCGTGATGGACATCCTGGGCTGTGACTCCCCCAAAAAAGGCAATTTAACTGGCAACCACGATTTTTAGGGTCGATAGGTCAATGGCCCAGCGTCAAAGCGACCGCGGTTGGCGCCCACATCTCGTCACCGTCCTCAAATGACAGATTCCTGCCTTGCTCGTGCAGCCATCGCCCCAAAGAGCGCCCAGGCAATGGTAGTTCCCGCCGCCAGATTGACAAAAAGCAATGCGCCAAGAAGTCTGTCACCATTTGTGAGTTCCAACCTTTCGTTGTCATGTATGCGCCGGATTCCTTTTTTATCACAAGTTGTGTGGTAAAGCGTCTCTGAGAATGTCTGATCTTGTTTGAAGTCGCCCATGATATAAAGTCAGCGTGGCACCTTTCCAAAAGCTCTGCCAAACCCAGGCTGGGTGGACCGTATGCTCCTTTTTCAAGCAAATACAACATCGCGCTGGCGTTGCACGTCCACAGAAGTCCAAGGTTCAAAACGTGTAAGGAGCAAATTTGCACCATCGAAACGTCGAAGTGGGGAAGCAAAATGAAAGCGCTGGGATTGCTGAAGGGCAACACATCGTTGATGAATTGCGTAGTCGTGCGCCACTGCGGCGGTCTCAAGCCAGCATACTGAAACTTGCCAACCCGACAAAAGTGACAAATGTCTGAGGCAGAATTCCAATGAGTATTGAAGCTGAACACCTGCCTCAAATATTTCCAATCGCCACTGATTTCTGTGACCATGAACTGGTACCCCGCCACCGGGCTGTCAAATAATTTCCCCAGTGACCACACAAGTCTGGCAATAACTGGCTGCAGCGTCTCATATCCTGTCGGATGTCACAAAAGTAAAGAGTAAGCAAGTCGCAGTTTAATTGTTCTGAAACTTTGCCAAACACATTTTTATAGTTTGGAGGCCCTGGCCTAGGAATAGTTCTGACCGTATCGACCACAGCAGCCAACGCGATTGGCGAGCGCATCGTGGCCGAAACAAGGGGCACGAGAGAAAAATTGCGTAAATTTGCTCCCTCGACTTCTTCCCGTAACGCGCATCATCTCCAAATATTTTGAGTGGAACGCGGTCAACACCATCGCGAACTGATAAAGCCCAGGGCACACCGTTTGACCGTGCATCGCGCCAGAAGGACGCCACAGTAGCCCGGTTTATCTGCAGCCCAGCCTGTTCAAAGAGATACTCAATCCTTGGAGGAGGATATTCCGTAACTGTTTTTTGCATGAATCGGAATCACACCTTTTCAACTTTCAAGGCTTGCCCCAAACAAGTCCGACCATTTTGAAACGTTGAAATTGGCGTTGCGGCTATGTGCATGGGCGAGCGGTTGAAAACACGAGGGAAACTATTTGAAGTTAAAACGCTGCCAAGTTGAGATTGCTAAGCAACACCAAATGGGGGTCCAGAATCGGGCAGTCCCAGTAGATCCAGCGCTTACTTGTTGTCCCACCGGAGATGGGAACCGTCACAGTGCTGGGTTCCTGAGAGCACGGTGCCTGCCCCGCCCCTTGCTGGCTCTGACTAGGCCAAAGTCCGTGGCAGCTTTTTATGTCGATTTGTCCATTTAAAGGCAGGCAACAACCCCCAAACTGCAATGATCAAATAGTCCACTTCCCCCCCCTGTTGCCAGGGTACAATTGGAGGGCGGACAGTTCGTTGAAAGTCACGAGCAGCGTTGGACAAGCTCTTGAACGTGGCCAGCTTGGCAGTGATTTGGGTCACATTCCCAGCCGCTTCCTGGGCCAATCTTCAAGGGCTCGTCAAATAATAAGAACTTCAAAGGTTTAAGAGCTTTGACTAATCAGGGATTGCAAGTTAGGTGGTCAACACAGCACTGCACACACCTGTCCTCGTGGACCACATGGGTGTCGCGCATGACCGAGCCAATGGAGGCAGCCTGAGCCCAAGAGGGCAGCCCAAGCAACTTTACTCATGGGCAAAGGTATGCTGGGGCAACCACCCCATCGCCAACTTTCTCCAATATGTTTTGGAGCCAGGGTGTTGATTGTTGTGGAGGTGCCGGGCCTGGCGCATTAGCAAGCTGAATGCTGGTTGGTGAACTGGGTCCATGATGGCTAATGAGTGCTACCAAGTCCGGAATCTGAATGAAATGCATTTTCGCTCGACTTGCCTTGCGATTTCTCTGCCCAGGTTTTCCCAGGCAACCCCGCTCCGCAGCAACAACTTGTGTTGGCTGGCTTGCTTTCTGAAACTTGGCATGAGCATGAGGCTGCTGACAGCAGTTCATTTGTTTGATCAACTGAAATTTCGGTTTGCTTAAATTCAGATAAAACGGTATCTCGAATGTGGAACAAGTTGACTTGACTCGAAGTCACAGGATTGCGGGAGATCAAATTGTTGCAAGTCTAACACCCGAAGGACTGATGTCAGAGGCCAGCCAGCATGCCAGTGAATTGTCACAAATGCCCTCCAAAGAGCAATCTGACGCTCCCTGGATGGCGGTGCCCCTGCAGTTGCTAAAGCAACATTATCCCCTTGACCCAGCCACGCTTCAAATGATTGTTTGGCCCAATGCGGTTCCCAGAGTTTATGAGAATCTTCTGAAATCTAATCACTCCAATGGGGATTCATGATTGCCAGATCACAGTCAGTGGCGGGTCAACCGAACTCAGGTGATGATGCATCACTTCTTGGCTTTCTCAGCCGTCTTACCCTTAGCCTTGCCCTGAGCCTTTGGCTTCGGTTTGAGCTTGGCAGCCCTCATTTTCTTCAGGGGCAGGGCCACGCTGTCAAGGTTGGCCACCAAAGGGTCAAACGCAGACACGCAGTCGTGGATCTCCTGCTCCTGCCACACATCAGCACTCCCTTCAAAGCCCCAACTTTGTGACCGGAATCAACCGCCCCAAAAATTCAGTCAGTTGATACCCCCACAAAATGTTTGAGGTGAACAAAACAACAAATCAGGACCTTTCCGCCATATTCATGTTGAGATCGTAGGGAAACAACTGCCCAACACTGCAAAATTTGCGAAAAGCCTTTGTGACCTTTGTCTCAAACACCAATCAATTTGAGGCGCCCTTGTTTCATGTCTACATTTGGCCCCAAAACCGGCAAGGAAAGGGAGGTACCACTTTGCGGACTTACAGGGCCAAGGGGGCTTTTTTGATTTTATCACCAGCTGATGCCCTCAGAGTAACGACCTATTTTGTGACCATGGAAAAGGAATTGCTTAAATTGGGGAGGAGTTGGGATTAAATGGTGGGGTCAATGAATCCACATCCACGCCTTGTCATTGGCCACAGCATCCTGCAACCTGTCCGCCCACCTTTCCAATGCGCATCTGTGGCCCTCGAGGTCCTTCATCATCGCGCTCCTCATGTTCGAGCTCCTTAGCACGATGAGGCAGCGGGGAAGGGCAGGGTCAGGATTCAACAGCTGACCATTTCAACTTTAAG